CAACGCATGAGTAATAATGTCCATGAAGAACATGCTTTCAAGGTGACTCATGCAAGCCAATATGTTGGTCTTGGACAAGGAAGAGGGCGTGGGAATTTTGAAGGTAGAGGTTATGGATGAAGCATGCTAATTGTTGATAAAGCAATAACGAAATGCTATAATAGTCACAAGCTCAGACACTTTCAGTGGGAATGTAAGAATGGTGTGGCAAATTTTGCAAAAAGTCAGGTAAAGAGTGAAAAACACATGTTGTTGATGGCTTATATTGAAGAAATTGACGAAAAGGAGCAGCAAAAGATAAACATGTGATTTCTTAACTCTAGGTGTAGTAATCATATGTGCAAAAAAAAAAAGAATATTTTAATGAGCTTGATGAGAACTTCTCAGATTCAGTAAAATTGGGAAATAATTTGAACATGGTGGTTAAAATGCAACATCAGACTTAATGTAAATGGAGTTATTAGCATCATCTTAGGAGTTTTTTATGTTCTAGAATTGAAGAACAATTTGTTGAGTCTAGGAAAATTGAAGAGAAGGGGCTGAGCATTTTATCTCAGTAAGTACAATGCAAAATATATCATCCAAGATATAGCACAACTTTGATTACTACGAAAAAAAAGCCTATTATCTACGACAAAAATCAGTAGGTAATGCACTCGCTTGAACAAAATATTTTTATTTACTTTATTATTACCTAAAACCCCTCCTCTTTATATTATTTATAACATTTTTATAGGTTTAAATTATTTTCAGATTAAGAGAATTATCACTGGTAGAAATCGAACCTAGTACCTTGAAACCGATACTCCAACCATTAAACTATTATGATATTCTGATAATAATTTACAAATAAATTATATTTATATTTATTCTTGTAAATATATAAATATAAAAAATATAAATATAAAAAAATATAAATATAAAAAATATAAATATAAAAAATAAAAAATATATAAATATATAAATAAAAAATATATAAATAAAAAATATATAAATATAAAAAATATAAAATATAAAATATATAAATATAAAATATATAAATACAAAATATATAAATACAAAATATATAAATAAAAAATATATAAATAAAAAATATATAAATATAAAATATATAAATACAAAATATAAAATATATAAATACAAAATATATAAATATAAAATATATAAATACAAAATATATAAATATAAAATATATAAATACAAAATATATAAATATAAAATATATAAATACAAAATATATAAATATAACTTATTTGTAAGTTATTATCAAAAAAATTTAGTAGTTTAATGGTTGGAGTGTCAATTTCTAATTCTAAGATATAAGATATTGGGTTCGAATTCTGTCAATTACAATTCTTTTAATTTGATATAATTTACCTACAGATTTTTATCCATAGGTAATATTTTGTAGATAAAAGACTTTTTTTTTATAGTGGATATTGCAAGTTTTGACCTTTAAGTTTTAAAGGCTTACATACTCTGTGACAACTCACGAACGACATTATCTACGGAAAATATCTGTAGGTAATGGATAATTTACATACGGATAGAATTTCATAGGTAATATCTGTATGTAATGTACAATTTACCTACAAATTTTTATCCGTAGGTAATATTTTGTAGATAATAGTTTTTTTTTGTAGTGGTTATTGCAAGTTTTGACCTTCAAGTTTTAAAGGCTTACATACTCGTGACAAAAAGAAATGGTGGAAGGTTTACCACTACTTAGCCGCCCTCTAAGTTGTGCAAAAGTTGTCTGGGAGGAAAAACATCGAGATTCATTTCCCATGAGAAGTTCTGGGAGAGCTTCATAGATTATTCAACTCATTCATGCCGACATTTGTGACCCAATTAAGCCAGTCTCAAATAGCAAAAAAAATATATATTTGCTTACTTTTATTGATGATTTCAGTTGAAAAACTTGGGTTTGTTCTTTGGCAGAAAAATCAGAGGCTTTTACTGTTTTCAAAAACTTCAAGTTACATGTTAAGAAAGCAAAAGATATGTTGCTCAAAGGGTTGCACACAAATTGTGGTAGAGAGTTTACATCTTGAGAATTTAACAACTTTTGCCATGCGCATAAAGTGCAAAGACAATGAACAACTACATACTCACTCTAATAAAATGGTGTTGTAGAGTAGAAGAAGCAAACAATCATGAATTTGGTTCACAACATGCTATCTGAAAAGAAAATGCTTAAAACTTTCTAGCTAGAAGCAGTAAATTGGGTTGTGCATGTGTTAAATTGCAGTCCAACGCTAGTCGTGAAGGATAAAACACCCGAAGAATCCTGGAGCGAAATCAAGCCATCAATTCAACATTTTTAGAGTTTTTTGTTGTGTTTCTTATGCTCACGTACTCGATAATTTGATATCTAAACTAGATGAGAAAAGCTAGAGGTGTGTTTTACTCGGAATTAGCAAAGAATCAAAGGCATACATGCTTTATGATCTTATCTCACAAAAGGATTATAGTAAGCAGTGATGTAGTTTTTGAAGAAAATGAAGAATGAGAATGGGACAAACAACATGAGTCAACTACTATATGCGAGCTGGAATGGGAAGATGATTAAAAGGTTGTCTTAGAAGAATCTCCTATAGAAGAAGATGTTGTTGGTGCACACTGGAGGAGTCATTTGCCACTAATCAAGAAACTTCTAAAGGTCCTGTGGAAGGGAGGAGTAGAAAGCAATAAACTTGGCTAAGAGACTGTGTCTGGTGAAGGGTTGTCTGATGAAAAGGCCATATTTTACTCAGCATTCTTTGTCTTGTATACTACTATTACTGACTCACTCAATTTTGAAAAAGTAGTGAAGATTAAAAAATGGAAAAATGCCATGGATGCAGAGATTGAGGTGATTGAGAAAAATGACACTTGGGAATTAATTGACTGGCTAAAAGGAGCTAAAGTAGTTGGAGTAAATTGGGTTTACAAAACTAAATTCGATGAAAAGGGAGAAGTTGACAAGTTTAAAACAAGACTGATAGTGAAAGGATATGCTCAATAGTATGGTGTAGATTATACAAAAGTTTTTGCCTCAACAACTTGTATGGAGACTGTGCGATTGGTAATTGCGTTTGTAGTATAAAAAAGGTGGGCTATACATAAACTAGATGTGAAGTCTACATTTTTACATGGAGAATTCTTTGTTGAGCAACCTTGTGGTTATGTGCAGAAGGGGAAAGAAGAAAAGTGTACAAAGAAAACTCTTTATGAGCTTAAACAAACTCTGCATGCTTGGTATAGCCGCATTGAAGCATACTTTGTTAAGGAAGGTTTCAAAAAAATGTGAATATGAGCATACTCTTTTTGTTAAACAAAACAAAAGGGGCAACATGCTCATTGTAAGCTTATATGTTAATGGTCTTCTATTTATAAGAAAAATGATGAGATGTTTATTGAGTTTAAGAACTCGATGATGCTTAAGTTTAACATGACTGATCTTGGTAAAATGAAGTTTTTTTTTTAGGTCTTGAAGTCTTGCAGAAATCGAGTGAAATCTTTACTTGTCAAAAGAAGTATGTTGAAGAGATGTTGCAATGTTTTGTAATTAATAAGAGAAACTTCGTTCAAACTCTAATTTTTTTTAGGTGATGAATAAGAGAAACTCCGTTCAAACTCCAATTATTCTTGGTTTTAAGATTTGTAAGGATGAAGGAGGAAAATAGGTGGATTAAACTTGATTCATACAAATGGTGGGTTGTCTTATGTATCTCACTTCTACTTGTCCAGATTTGATGTTTGTTATAAGTCTTTTGAGCAGGTATATGGAGAATCTCACTTAGCTCCATTTACAACTAGCAAAGGGTGTACTAAGGTACATACAAAGAATTACTAAGTTTGGAATTCTCTACAAGAAAGGAGGAAGTGATAAATTTATAGTATATACTGAAAGTGACTATGCTGGAATGTGGATGATAGGAAAAGTATAACTGGAAATGTCTTCGTTTTTTTTTATCTAAAGTTATATCATGGTGTTCTAAGAAACAAACAATTAATTGTAAGTTTGTCAACCACATATGCATAATTCATCGTAACGACATCATGTTTCTATCAAGCTATTTGGTTAAAGAGGTTGTTCATGACACTTAATCAAATTGAGCAAGAGCCCATAACTATTCAGTGTGATAATAGTTTTGCCATCAAGGAACCCATAACTATTAATAGTTCTATCATCAAGAAACCTAATAATGCATGAACGTAACAAGTATATAGATATTCATTTTCACTTTCTTCGAGAACTTGTACAGGTAAGAGTGATAAAACTGATCACCTGTAACACTTCGAACAAATTGTTGATATGATGACAAAACCTTTTTAAATTGGATGTCTTTTTGAAAATACAATATTTATGTTAAAAGAACAATATAAACTATTTTTTTTATTAAAGAATTTAGTTTAAGAAAAAAATTATTAAGAATTAATCAAATAAGATTTTATTTTATTAGCGACTCTTTTATTTTAAAATAATTCTTTTTAGTTAGAAGTGTACTAGCAACTCCTTATTTATTGCAACTCCTTATTTATTTATTTATTGCATTTGTCTGATTTGCTTTATTGTTTATAACTATTTATAAGTATTTCTTTGCATTCAAAAGGGAACATTACTTCCAAAATGCTGTCTCTCTCACAAACACTTTACTGTTAAATTCATCACCGGTTTTTTTAATATTGAATTAGATACTTTTTTATTTTCCAAGGCAAAACTTACGTTTTAAAATAAAAAAATTCCTATTTGAACTAATTATGAAATAGGAACCATAGACTCACTATTGATACTATTTATCAGATTTCAAAATCAAAATAGAATTAATTAGGTCATAATAAGTCCTAACTTGAATAAGAAGCCGAGAAAACTGAGATGGATAATATAAATGAATTTTGATGACCACACATGAAGGCAAAAACATGGATGCATTTGAACTTCCCAACATCATGTGTGTCTTCACCTAAAAATTATAGACTGGGGCTATATTTGCATGTTGGTCAACGAAAATCACATGGCTCCACAAACTATAATTCCCTTTACAAGGAACCCTACAACCATTTTGTACGCTAACAACACTGTACGCACAGAATTTTGGTTGCGGATTATATACACTGCAGAGGACAAAGTTCATCACCACGCACAACATACATTTGCATTATTTGAGTATTGTATTTTGCGAAACTTTTTATTAAAATGAGATTGATTATATATATATATATATATATATATATATATATATATATATATTCTGTTTAAGAAAAAAATTGTTCCAATTTAATATTTATTATTATAATAAGTCAATTTTTACACGTAAGATATAGTGTATTCTAAAATTTTTCTTAAAATCGTTTTGTTGAGTTAAAAAAAAGTGTTTATAAACTATTTTAAATAATATGATACTCGTAGTACCAAAATAATATGTATTCATAATTATTTTAAAATTATTTAATTATTATTATGATTGTTTATTATTTAAATAAGTTGACATTAGGACATATAACAATCAAATGATAATAAAAAGATACTACTTATATATATATATATATATATATATATATATATATATATCTATCTCGAAATTATTCATACATAATATTATTTTTATTAGACAAAGAATCATGTGATGTGTCACATTTAACTCCATATTCTAGGAATGTGTAATGTAAGTTATCTTCAATTTGTATAAATAAAATAAAAATGATTGAAATCACTCATTTGAGAAACCTATTAAATAAAAAAGAAAGATAATTTGTTTGAAAATAGGTTTCACAAACACTTGTTGATAACTAGTTTTAAGAAGAGATTTATACTTTATGTATGAGTAGATGTTGGACATGTCAAAGTAGTTGAGCATATATTTGTCAAAAAGAAATACAAACACTAATGAATGAAATAATCTATTTTATAAATATTTTAGGTGATAAATAATATTTATTTAATGTTAGTTATTATATTTTTAATACGGTATCGTATATAATTAACTAATTATTTGATAATAAATATGAAAATGTGTAGGGATGGATACATTGCCAATTCCCACTCCGAGGGAGGTGTTTATTTAACAAGTTGACAATGTGATTTTGGAATGAAAAAACCATCTTATTACAAAACCTCAAATGTCAATTTTTTTGGGCCAAAAAATTTCACAAAATTGAAAAAAAAAAAAAAAAAGCGTTGATTGCTGAGTGCAATTAAGGAGTAGATAGAGAGAATGTGAGGTAGAGTCAAAGTTTTGGTGAGAGAAAAATGAAGAATCATCGTAACTTGTAAAATTTGGATAAGACATTCTTTTAGGTCCCAAACACGTTGAAAAATCAGAAGGAAGAATATGAAGCGCACGTTGATCTTGCACCATAACTTATTCCTCGGACAAAGTGAGGATGAATCCTAACAAGAAGTTAACGGCTACCCACAATTTTCAACCGTAAACATGCACATGCTTATCACGGAAACCGATATAACTATATCCTCACCCAAGTCTTTGTTTACTAATTATTACAAATAAAATATTTTACATAATCGAAAATAATGAGATTACAGCATGTTCATTCCTACCAACAATTAGTGAACAAAAAATCTTATTGAAATTCAAATAATATGCATCAGGGAGAGCAAATAAAAAATATTTTTTTATTATTATTTAATATTTTTAGTTAAATAAGATTTTTGTTACATTATTAATATTATACTTTGCACTATTGGAGTAGAGAATCTTAGAATGTTAGGGGTAGTTCCATTACGTTGAATTATAGTTTATATTTGGTTGGGTATATACGCTACAATAATTAACTCCGCAAAATAAGTATCAAATGATGCCGTGATTTAGGGTTTTTAACAACCCGTCATGCCACGTCATTTCCTTATTCTCTCCTAATCAAATTATCATAATTTATGTCCAAGAATTTCCTTTTTTGTTTTTCAAGCAACCATACATACTATACACTATGTTCTCCTTTTTAGCCACCCATATTTTTTGATTGGTTATATTCTGTGCATATTAAATATCATACTTAAAAATTATGAATCTTACAATTAATTTTATTTAAATATTTAGTTATGTTATTCAATCACCTCAAATAATTCTAAGAATATATATCTCCATTACAATCTTTCATTCAACTTAATCTAATTTAAAATAAATAGTTATTATAATTCAATATGTGATATATATATATATATATATATATAATATTTAATCTAATAATAAAATTAATAAAATATATTTAGATTACCATTTTATTTGACTTACAGGACTCTCTTCTTTCTCTTTGACTCTTACGTTAAAATCTTAAAACCAATAAAACGAAATTAAGATAATGAAACTATAAAGCACGCAAAGGTCACTTTCCGTAAAACAGGCCCTCGTATCTAACTCAGAAGTTCGGTACGACTTTTTACTTTCATTCCATTTCATTAAAACGTTCAGTTATTAATTATTCATTATTAGTATTACATAAGAAAATAAAATAAAATATAATACATACCATACCATAAAATAAATAAAATATCATATCTTATAATTTTATTTTATTATTTATTAGGTCAAACCATTAACCTGCACAGTGCGTTGCCCCCTAATCTTGAGCTATATAAACCCTCTCAAACCGTTCCAACTCCCATTCATCCCACCACCTTCTTCACCACTTTCACCACTCCATCTTCCACGATCATCACCATCTTCAACACTTGACCAAATTCCAAACAATGGCGAACCCAACACCCAAACCTAGTCCCACTCTCATCCTTCGTGTGATCCTACGTTGCTGGTTGTGTTCATCCCTTGCTATGGGAGCCACTTACAATGTGGTCAACTTTGGTGCCAAATCAGACGGTAAAACGGACTCATCCAAAGCGTTCCTCAACGCATGGGCCAAAGCTTGTGCTTCCTCCAACCCTGCCTCGGTTTACGTGCCGCAAGGGAGGTTCTTGCTCGGAAGTGCCACCTTCGGTGGGCAATGTCATAACAAAGCTCTCACCTTTACCATTGATGGCACTCTGGTGGCTCCTTCTGATTACAGGGTCATCGGAAACTCCGGTAACTGGTTGCAGTTCGAGAGTGTGAACGGGGTTTCCATTCGCGGCGGCGTGCTCGATGGCCAAGGCACTGCCTTGTGGAACTGCAAGAACTCCGGCAAAGGAAATTGCCCCACCGGTGCTACGGTGCATTTCACTTTCATCCATTATTGCACATTATCATCGTTCACTCAGTTACTTGCTCCGTTTTTTATTTTTTATTTTTTTAATTTAATGTTGGAGGTGGAGTTGGGCTTGGTGATTGGTGAGAGTTTATTTTATTTAATTAGTGGGGGATTCATGGAACGGTTTTCTCAGCGTGGTTTGCTACAAGAAGTTGAAGCAAGTATCAAGCGAGGAGTTAGTCATAATATATACTTCTAATAATTATTAATTAATAAATAGTAACGATATGTTATGGTGGGTAGAAGAATTTTTAGCAAATTCATATGAAATGAGTAGTTATTAATAATTAATAAAGCAAGTACACTAACATAACCTTGTTTCTTTCTGTTGGCTCTTTGCATGTAAAAGAATAGTAACTCTTAAGGATAATTTGAAGTGACGTGGTTTTGATTTGTGTTGTGTTCAGACACTGGCTTTCACCAACGCGAATAACATAGCAGTTAGTGGGTTGACATCATTGAACAGTCAATTGTTCCACATAGTGTTCAATGGATGCCAGAATGTGAAGGTGCAAGGAGTGAAGGTCCTGGCAGATGGAAACAGTCCTAACACCGACGGTATCCATGTCCAAATGTCCTCCCATGTCACCATCCTCAACTCCAAAATTCGAACTGGGGATGATTGCATCTCCATTGGCCCTGGAACCACTAACTTGTGGATTGAAAACATTGCATGTGGACCAGGCCATGGAATAAGGTCATCATCTTCTATTCAAAATAAATGAAAATTGTCATTGTTGTTGTTGGTTGTTCTATAAGTATGAACTGTTTGCATTGGATTTTGCAGCATTGGGAGCTTGGGGAAAGATTTGAATGAAGCTGGTGTACAAAATGTGACAGTGAAAACGGTTACCTTCTCCGGGACTCAAAACGGTGTTAGAATCAAGACCTGGGGAAGACCCAGTAACGGATTTGTGAGGAACGTTCTTTTCCAAGACGCTATCATGGTCAATGTAGAAAATCCTGTTATAATTGACCAGAATTACTGCCCAGCTAACAAGGGCTGCCCCGGTCAGGTATAAAAAAACATAACACCATTTGAATACTTTTGTTTGTGTAAGTTTTAAGATGACAAGGTATGAGCTGATTTTGTTTTTCATGTTTGATTTTTGTTTGCACAAATCAAATAACAGGCATCTGGAGTGAAAGTGAGTGATGTGACATACCAAGACATTCATGGAACATCTGCTACACAAGTTGCTGTGAAATTTGATTGCAGTTCCAAGTATCCATGCAGCGGGATAAGGTTGGAGGATGTGAAGCTCACATACAAGAACCAACGTGCTCTATCTTCCTGCAACCATGCTGGAGGAGCCTCGTTGGGTTCAGTTCAACCCCAGAGTTGCTTTTAGACCCTAAAATATGCCATCACCCTCTTGCACAAAAAATATATACGCATACTATTAAACGAAGATTCTAAGTGGAGTCATAGGACAAGACCATAGTCATACATAATATATATATGTTTTTGTTTTTTGTTTATGAGAAGTGTATCAGCATGTTGTAGTTTGAGACGTTATGTAGTTTCGGGTTGATTCTGCGGCGTTTGTAGCCCATTGAGCTGGTCTTACAATTTTAATGGACCTCATGAACTCCAATTTTCTGTTGCATGATTGTATTTTCTTCAATAAAATATACTATTTCTAGCAATGAAATCCAGTGACTGGTTGCCAGAGATAATAAGGAGCATATGAATCTCTTAGGTCTAATTTAACTTTAAATATCGACTTTGAAGGTGAAAATTATTCTAACTTATATATTATATATAATTTGAGAAAAAAATAAAAATTGTTGACAACCCAAATACTAATATACAACTAATTATATTAATATAATATTAATTTTTTTATTATATTAATATAACTAATTATATTAATATAATATTAAAATTTATTATCATATTAATATTTTGAGTTGTTGATTGGTGATATTAGATGTCAAATTATCAACGTCCTTATATTTTTGACATTATCTTTAATTACTTAAAGCTTATGTTTTTTTTTTTTCAACATAAATCCAATATATTATTAGGCTTGAAATGTAAATATCATGATAAATGGTTATTTTAATGGATGTAAGATAAACTCTTAAAGTTTTAGTGGTCTTCCTGATAAAAATAATATAATAATCAATTTCTATGCGTTGAAATTAGGATTGAAAATTGATGAAAATGTTTTGTAAACTAAAATATAGGAACGGTGAAACTGACAGGGAAAATAATAAAGAAAAGGAAGGAAATAATCATAAAAAATCATAAATATAAGAATGTTTATATATAAACTTACAACTAATTTAAAATTCGTAAAACCTACCATTAAATTTAAACTAACTAGCTGAAACAAATTATAAAAGATAAAATTTTCAACATAGTATTTATAAATATATATCTTATCTTTTCATATTTTTTCATTTTTCATTTTTCATATTTATTTATTATTTATTAATATCATATTATTTCACCACGATGAATGGTAAATATTCATCATTGAACTTATTTTTGAATTTCAAAAGGAAAAATTCATAATTCTCACCTTTAGTTGGACATAGAGAATAGAGGTAGTGAGAATTGAACTGTGGAAGAGGAAGAGAGTAGAAAATAAAAATTAGAATGTAGAGTAGATTCTACAAAAGAAACTTATTAGAAAGTTTGCTGTGAAGTGGATCATTATATTAGTATATATAAGAGGTTGTTTATATTTATTATTTTAGGTATTTTATGTTTGATTAAGTTTTGAATATCTATAACCCGACCTAAATGTCATAATACCTCCGTTTAAATCATAAACTATTGTTGAATCAACTGCGCGTACATCACCCTCGACATCTTCACCGAAATGCATACCAACTCCTCTCTTATCCCTCTCTCCATAAACCTCTACATCCTAGCCATGAATTTCAACGTGTGTACATCCTTGTCGTTGAATCTTCCACCGCGAGCGAAATCAACTGACTCATGTTTCATAACTTGTGCCACCAACATTGGAACCATAACCCTAATCCTATGCAGTTCCTCTTGGCACGCTCAGGGTAGTCCTCAATGTATTTCTTTATAACACGCTAGATTAATTGTGTCAAAGACGTGTAGGGATCGATCTCGTCTCGTTTTGGCTTGTCTCACCTTTGACTCGTCAAAAGTGAGGTGGGGTGGACTGACTCGATATAGTCATGACGGATCTGTATATCTTGGCCGATCACGTTAAGGTGCGGGTTGACGGGTTGGCGGGTTGACCTGGCATAATCTAGAAAAAATAATTTTTTTTAATAAATTTAATAATAAAATTATTATTTATTTGTCAATAATTCAATATATATATATATATATTATTTTAATTTAATAATATAAATTAATACATTGTTTTAAGAAATTATAATTTAGAACAATAATAAAATTTACATAATAATAAATAATAACATATATATATATATATATATATATATATATATGTGTGTATATATATATAATGTTAAAACTTATAAAATTTATATTTTTTATATTGAAAAATTCAAATATCTATATCTTTTTTATTTGATAAAACTTCACATTATTCTTGGTTGAGTAATTCTTACATTTTTAATTTAAGTCATAAGGATAAAAATAATCAGTGCTTAGAACGAACAAGGAGAACAAGAGAAAGTTGTGTTCCTGTAAGGAGAATATTTTCTGTGAGAGTCAAACTTTTTTAATTCTCTTTTTAAAATTTATAACTTTATATATTATTTTTATAATTAATTTTATTACAATTAAAATTTATTTTTTTATTAATTAGGCAGAGCCGTGAGCTGGCCCGCCCGTCCCGCAGGTTGGCGGGCTTGGCAGGACGGGCCAAAGCGGCTGGTGGGCTGAAAACACCAACCTGTCCCACCATATTATGGTGGGTTGGCGAGCCAGTCCGCCGGACCTGACCCGTTTTGTCATCCCTAAAGACGAGAGAGTGTTGCGGGAGGCAATTACAAGCACTAGTAGGACTAAGTTCTCTTTAATATGCGATTATTGATATATGTTTTAACAGGTTAAAATATAAAATTTTAATATAAAGACGGAAAATCTTATAAAAAATGAAGAATGAGAGTATTTAAGGTTATAAGGTTTATCTATTATTATTGATAGAATCTTTGTTAATGATAAGACTATAACAGTTGATAAAATCTTTGTTAATGATAGGACCATAACAAAAAATAAACCTATATTTGTGAGATTATTAAAAATCATATACTTTTTATCAGCTAAATAGTACTGTGATAGAACATATGGATTAAACTACCCTTTTGAACTTGATTTTATTCTTTGTTATTATCAAACAAAACAAACAAATACTAGTAGGAAAAACACACTTAATATCGGTTCCGTTAATTTCATCTGTTTCTTCTCACTTGTAATGTCATTCCATTACCACTCTCACCCTCACTTTTTTCCTTTTCTCCTCTCACCTTACACTTTCTCTCTCTTGTGACCTAAAGTAATAAATCCTATCCTCTATCGTATTGCTTAATCGTGTTTATGTTTTTGAAGGATTGTGAGTTGGCTGAACTTTGTAAACAATAGAGGAAGCAAAATTCATGGTATCGGATCGACATTATTTTTTATGCTTAATTGCTGAAACTATTTATTAGATTATTGTTACCATTTAGACTAACAAAATTGATATCTTAGGATAGTTCATATAAGCAATATAGTTTATTTTTTATATATATTTTTTATATTTTTCATATGTCCTGCTTTTTGCTTAGAAATAAATTAGATAGAGATCATAATTCTTAATAAACATGTAGAAATCAGGAAAACAGTAGATACCCATTTTTTTGTCAAAATATTAGTGATTACTTTTGCACTAGCTACACTTACTGGGCTTACATGATCATAATTAACTTTGAGTCACACACTTAAATAATAGCTTACAACGTGCACTTAATATTTTGTAATATAGTTTTTTGTGAATGCCCTGCACTTAATATTTTGTAACATATCTTTTTGTGAATGCATAGATAGAATTAGTAATTGAGTTGATGAATAATTATATAGGATTATTTTGTCTCTTGTTTCGTATGTTGGCCAAACTGGATTTATTATTTTTTGCTTGAATATATTAAATTATATATAAGTATGTATGTGTTCTCCAATAAATTTAATGAAATAAATTGTTTTTAATTGATGATCTTGTGCTTTGATACGATACAATTAGTATTGTATGAACTGTTATGGATTAAATAATTTATGTTTATAAACTTTTATTAAAGTGATACATTAGTTTTATTCCTAAACATTGAATAATATTTTTCTCATTTTTATTTTTCATCTTGTATAATAGGTATGAAAAATTCATTTGTCTTCGACGGAGGTTGTAATTTCTTGAATCCTTGAGTTGGTCTTATTCACATGAATAAAACTTAGTTGAGATTAAACTATATATTTTGTCCCTTTTAGTTTTTTTTTTAATATTTTATATATTTTAGAAAAATTCATTAGGTTGATGTATTTAAAAGTAAATATTGAATATAATTTCTATTGCCATTTCTATTGGATTTATTATTATTTAATAGTTATTAATAATTTATTGATTGTGATAAATTTGTTAAGAAAAATAATTATATTTTATAAATAGAAAATGCAAGACCAGTTTTAAGTTCTATTTTTAATTTATATAATTTTTTTAAAATTGAATAAAGTTACTGACGGATTATCATTTGTTGGTAATTATCGATGAATATAAAAATTCCGTCGGTAATAATTTCTAATAATAAAATTATCAACAAATTTTTATTTATCAATAATCTGTCAATAAATAATCATTACCGATAAATTTCTTGCATTATCGACGGATTTTGCGCAAACTATATTCAATCTAAGTTTTGCTCATCGCTTAAATGAATTCAAGAATATATCCAAAGAAATTTTGATTCCACCGTACATGATTAAGTTGCGAAAACTTTTGGATATGTATCCTACATTTGAACTGAATTCTTTTTAGCTAAAGAATCTCTTTTTAGTTGCTATGGAACAATAGGAGATTCTCTAGAAGAAATACAAAGTTTTACTTTTGGTGGCAATATGTTATGGGGTGGTGGTCTCACTTGTGGGGGTCAAATCCATACGTTCTAGTCCATTAATAATATTTAATTTTTCTTATAGTATTTATTCTAGAAAAGAAAGGAATTAATGAGACAAATAATATGAGACATGGTGATTGACACCTGTATTCAGAATCTAAGAATTTAATTTATGTTGATTATCTTATCATTACTTCAATCATGTTGTTGTTCGTGATGAAAGACTTGCATATAAAAGATTTAGTGACTTGATTACTAGTTTGATTGATTTTGAGACTGGTTGTTGGAATCAATTATAATAATTGTT